GGGGGGGTCTCTGTTGCCCCCGAACTGCCTCAGGGGTGGGCTTTGGGGCTCCCCCGTGCCTGTGGATGAGCCCCCGGGGCTGTTTGAGCACCCCAGGGTGAAACCTGGAGGACTTTGACCCCACCCCAGCCATGGATTTGACGCCCTGGATGGACAGAGGGAGATGGGGTCCGTCCCGCTTGTCCCCTCCCGGCGACGTGGTTTCTGTCCCCCAAACCATGGCGGTGGGGGCGGTTAAACAGACTTGGTGGCGCCGGCGGGTGGCGAAAATCAACACGTGGGTTTTAAGGACTGTTTTAGTGCCGTTATTGCAATTTTTTTCTCTAAAAATTCCCCCCCACATGACATCTCACCTACTGGGTGCCAACTGTGGGCATGTGGCCACCACGGAAGGGCCACGGTAGCCATTGGCCATATCATGGGACCTCCCCGAGTCTTTGTGATCATGACAAGTGCCAACAGGACCAAACTATGTCCCCGTGGCCACCATAGAAGGGCTACGGTAGCCATTGGCCACATCATGGGACCTCCCCAAGTCTTTGTGATGATGACAGTTGCCAACGGGACCAAACTACATCCCTGTGGCCACCACAGATGAGCTGTAGTAGCCATCAGGCTATGTCATGGGTCCTCCCCGAGCCTTTGTGTCCACCTTCAGCCTCAATGCCATCCCTTTTTGCCCACATGGCTTCTCCCCGAGCCAATGGGAGGCACCAGTGGGGCAAATCCACGTCCCCGTTGGCCATCGAGCCAATGGGAGGCACCAGTGGGGCAAACCCACGTCCCCGTTGGCCACATCATGGGCCCTCCCCAAGTCTTTGTGTTGACAATGGGTACCAGTGGGGCCAAACCACATCTCTGTGGCCACCGCAGAAGGGCTGTAGTAGCCATTGGCCATGCCATGGACCCTTCCCACGTCTTTGCATTGGTGATGGGCACCAAAAAGGCCAAACCACATCCCCATGGCTACCACAGAAGGGCTGCGGTAGCCGTTGGCCACATCATGAGTCCTCCCCAAGTCTTTGTGTCCACGTTTGTCCCCAGTCCTGTGGCTTTTTGCCTACGCAGGTTCCCCACAAGCCAACAATGGGCATGGATGGAACCAAACCATGTCCCCATGGCCACCACAGAAGGGCCATAGAGTCACTGGCCACATCGTGGGTCCTCCCCAAGGCTTTACATTGACGGTGAGCGCCAATGGGGCTAAACTACGTCCCCGTGGCCACCCCAGAAGGGCTGTAGCAGCCACTGGCCATGTCATGGCTCCTCCTGAAGTCTTTGTGTTGATGATGGGTGCCGACAGGGCCAACCCACTGGCACGCGGCCACCCCAGAACAGCTGCAATAACCACTGGCCACATCATGGATCTTCCTGAAGTCTTTGGGCGCCAACAGGGCCAAACCACGTCCCCATGGCCACCTCAGAAGGGCTGTAGCAGCCATTGACCACGTCATGGATCCTCCATAAATCTTTCTGTCGACGATGGGCACCAGCAGGTCAAACAATGTCCCCGTGGTCACCACAGAAGCACCATTGTCTGCTCCGCCACCTCCTCCACTCTCCCTGGGGAGCCCCTCAGAGCCCCCGGTGCATCGCCAGGGTCGGACCGGGTCCCTGATCAGCTGCGTGGAGGCGGCGGTGGCGGGCAAGGTGGGAGCCGCGGCTGAAGGTCTTGGGGCAATCGGGACAGCGGTAGGGCTTCTCACCGGTGTGGGTGCGCTGGTGCTCGAGCAGACGGGCGCTCTCGCCGAAGCATTTGCCGCACTGGCCGCACTGGAAGGGCTTCTGGCCACTGTGGAGACGGCGGTGCTGGCTGAGGTTGGAGCTCCAGCCGAAACGTTTGCCGCAGGCGCCACACTCGTAGGGTTTCTCGCCAGTGTGGGTGCGCTGGTGCTGCAGGAGGTTGGAGTTCTGGGTGAAGCTCTTGGCGCAGGCACCGCACTTGTAGGGCTTCTCGCCCGTGTGGGTGCCCAGGTGCCGCATCAGGTGCGAGCTCTGCCCAAAGGCCTTGCCGCACTCGGTGCACTTGTAGGGTTTCCGGGTACCCAGGGGGGGCGTGGGGGGCAGCCCCCAGGGCCAGCCCAGGCCAGGTGATGGGGGCAGCGGTGGCAACGTCACCAGGCTCTCAGGGGTGTCCGTCTCTGGGTACTTCACGGTGCCTGTGGGGATGCAGAGATGGGCGTCACCATGGGGATCCCTCATTGCCCCCAGTATCCCAAATCGATTCCTGGAATTCCCAAATCACCTCAGACCTCCCAAATCACCCTCACTGCCCCCGGATCTCCCAAATTGTCCCCCAAGCCATATAGTGCCCTCTCAGACCCAAATCTCATTTGGAGGTGGCCAGGAGGAACGTGGAGGTCAGGGATGGGCCCGGGTTGGGGTTGGGTTGGAGCAAGGACCCCTCAGAGGTCCTGTGTGTTCCCCCATCCTGGTGGGATGGAGCTGGGGAAGACAGCCAGGGATGTGGTGGGTCTCCATCCTCGGGGGTCCTCAGGCTTCACTGGGAGGAGCCGTGAGGAACCTGGATGAGATGGACCTGCTTTGGTCGGCGTTGGACCCCTCCGCTGCCCCGCTGACGGTTTGCGGTGGCCCCCTCTACACCCTCCCCAGCTGGGCTCACCTCCGTGGGCGCCGGGTACCGTCCCCCCATCCCCGTCCCAGTCACCGGGCGGCTCCTCTGGCTGCTCCATGGCCTGCGGAGAGACACGGGGTGTGTGTGGGGGGAGATGCGGGGTGTGGG